CGAGGTGAAAACTTTGAAGATAATTGTCGGATCATTGCAGTCGGAAATCGCAAGAGAGAAGCAAGATTTATCGGAAACCAAACAGAGAAACAGAGAAGAAACAAGAGTGGATAAATGCACAGAGATGGACAAGAAGTTGCAAGAAGCTAGCAGGAAGGCAGAGGAGGCAAAGTCACTTGCAATAGCTGCTCGAGAGGAGCTGAGAAAGGCGAAGGAAGAGTCCGATGAAGCGAAAACAGGACTCTCTGCGATAGAAAGGCAGTTAATGGAGGCCAAAAAGGAAATTGAAGCTTCTAGAGCTTCTGAGAAGTTGGCCTTAGCTGCCATAAAAGCGTTGCAAGAGACTGAATATGCTAACAAAATCGAAGACATTAGTAGTTCACCAAGAAGCATAATAATTTCAGTGGAGGAATATTATGAGCTAAGCAAGCAAGCACATGAGGTAGAAGAGGCAGCGAATAGAAAACTAGCGGAGATCGTCTCCAAAATCGAGGTGGCTAAGGAAGAGGAATCAAGAATCTTGGAAAATCTTGAGGAAGTGAGTAGAGAAACAGCAATAAGAAAGGTAGAGCTAAAAGAAGCAATGACAAAAGTTGAGAAAGCTAGAGATGGGAAGGTTGGTATGGATCACGAGTTGCGAAAATGGAGGTCGGATAACGGGAATAGGAGCCCCGAGGGAGGAAATAAGGAAAACTTAAGCAAGTCAAAATCGGCTTTACATAAACCAACATCATTTGCATTTGGTGAGCAAGCAAGCAGTAGTAATGTGACCCCTGAAACAAAAAAGAAAAAGAAGAGATTTTCTTTGCTGCCAAAGGTCTTCATGTTCTTGTCAAGGAAGAAGTCGTCCAACAAGTGAGTTTCTTACAGGTAGGTTTTATTGTCCCTTTTTTGACATATTCGGTTTGTATGTCTTTATGGAAATGGAATACATAGTATCTGAATTGAGAGAGAACAGTGAACTTTTTAAATTTGTTGGTTAGAATAGATTTGTTGTACTCTTAAATGAAATAAAGGTATTGATACACTTGTCGAATAATCGAATTTTTCGTTACAAAAGAATGTACCTAAGAAGCAGAAGTGAAGAGGGTTTGAATGATGGTCTTATGCCATGGATTAGAGAGATGCTCGACAAGGTTATCGATAGGGCCAGTGTGAGTCACAGAGGCTTGAACAAAGAACCCAAGCATCGCCATCATCGCTAGACGACCTGTTAAAAACCAATCCATCAATGTCCCACACAGTTAATGAGGAAGGAACCAAACAAAAGTAAGTCTATTACCATTCTTGATCTCCTTAAGCTTCCATTCATGAGCATTTTTAATATCCTTAGCAAGGCCTAGTGGGTTTAAAAGCGGTCCTCCTGGATATCCAGGCTCGAGTCCCTCGAGGGATGCTTCAAGTCCAAAGAAAAAAGATCCTTCTTTGGCTTGAGAGCCCGGAGAGACATAATCCACATACCTTTTAGTCTCAGCAAACCTGTGAAGAAAACAAAAGAGAACCATTCTAAGCTTTTGTTAGTTAACAATAACTAAATATTAGGTATAAAGAGATAAAGAGTTTGATTCATTACCCCATAAGTAGAAACTGTACAACTATGAGTGTTTTTGTGCTAGCAAAATCAAATTTAACAGCTCCAGCTTCATACCAAACCGGTAAATTACGAATCCCTGTGGTCCGAAGCAGCTAATGCAACCAAAACAAAGCTCTAAGTTAGCTATATTTTGAGACATTCCAACATTGCAAAAGTGAGTAAATGATAAAGATTAGTTCTTACATCGGTGAAGAGTATTCCTGCAACACCGAGCATAGCGAAACGAGAGTGAACAAGCTCTGCTTGAACATACCATCTCAAGCTTTCCGGATCCTCTCCTAACCCAAGCGGGTCAAACCCGTAATCACCAGCCAACCTTTATTTAATTTCAAGAATACAAAAAGATTAGTGTTTTGGTCTTTTGTGCAAATGGGAGACAAAAGGAACTCACTTTCCATTAAGATAAGGAGGAGGGTCGAGGCCAGGTAGCCACGTGGCACGTTCAACAGCCACCGTTGGGTTGATGCCTCCTCCCGCGGCTTTGACGGATGAGATTCTTCTTGTGATGACGGATGAAGTGTCGCGACGATGGTGAAGAAATCCTCCGGTGATGCCTCCACGTAAAACTACGGCCATTTTGCTCTGTTTTGTTTTTGGTTTACGTTTGTGTTCTGTTCTGACTCTGTTTATTTGTTATCGGCAAGTTGAAGCTAAGAAAGTAACGTGATCCACGTAAATTAGTCATTTTTTATTTTTATTTTCTTTTACAACAATTAGTCATTTTGATAAATTATTAAAATCCGAAGATATGAAAAGTAAATATCTTAGAATTACACTTTTTCAGTTTTAATTACACCTCACTTTACCTCATATAACTGAAGCTCTTGGGACTTGTATGTAGGTTGCATATAATCACCTCAAATTCCCCTTTGTACACAAAAGTAGGAGTGAGGAAAGGGCATTTTGGAACAAGAAGAGTTTACGGGAAGTTGGCAACGAGACGGAAATTCAGGACCGATTTTGGGCATAACCGGATTTAACCACAAATCCGCGTTTATTATTCCGCGTATTAGCTTGATTCCCAGATCAATTTTGTAAAAGTTCTACAAAAAAAAAGTTTATTGCGATCGTGGTTCAATTGGAGGCATAGTAATTTACATCAAAATAAAGTTAAATTAATGCGGCAATTCAATTAGTAAAGCCCTAAACTTAAACTAATTTATATTGCAAATAATCTGCTTTGCAGAAAAATTGAATTGAATCATGAACGAAGATGTGTCTTGACTCTCGAGTTTCAAAATCAAGTATTATATTTGAATTTTCATACACCAAAAAAAAAAAAAGACCTAGAAATCAAAGAAAATAAATTAAACATTAACAAGTCTCACTTGTGGTTGATTCAAATACTCCCAGAAATATCGTAACGCTTTAAATAGTTGGGGTAGACATAATGCATAAAAGAGCTTCAATGAAAGCGGCTAAAACCCATAACAAGGATAGTATACCATGGTAAACCCTTGTATATAAATGGGTCGATATGATAAAAAAACCTTAGTGAATCTTCCGGAAGAGACGAAAACGGCGACAAAGATCAGGTTTTGTTTTCCTTCAATTTTTTTCCCGCTAAACAAATTCATTAAACGATTTTACAAATCATGTTTTAATCATTCCATTCAATCTAAGACTATATATAAATATTTTATTTTCTCTATTTTTTGTAAAAAATGTCATGTATGTAAGATTCAGTCACCGAATTTGAGGATGCCGATACCCTTTACCCCTGGGACATGAAAACGTTCATGTGCCACACTGTCGCCACGTTAAGTCTGTCATAGGAAAAGTTGTTGAATTTGTTACCGAAAAATTAGAGTATGTGGGAATGAGAGATGGATTTGCAATTGGTGGAAATAAAGAGGCGGTTCCAAAAAAAGGTGCAGAGTGGTTTTAGGAGCAGTTGTCGATGATAATCTTGATTGAAGGGTGTGCGAGTGAGAGAGAGTCGGGAATCATCGTGCTGATTTCGTGGAAATTGTCATGGATCTAGTTGGTAGTGGTTTTCTTGTGTTATTGTTGTATCAGACATCGAATGCTAGTAGTGAATTATACTCTCTATTAATTTCTTCTCAATTCTTATAATACTCAATCACAGATTTACACTTTTTCCGCTCAACCAAAAAAATAATAATTTGTAAACCGAGAAGAAATAGAAAAAAATATTCTCCTATTTGTATGCCATAATGTGTTAAACATTTAAGAGGACATTTGGAAGTTTCTTGTCATTATTTTGTTTAGTGATTTTTTCTCGCGTTTGAGGTTTTGAATTTTACCAATGCATTCTTCTATTTTCTTTATTTTTATAGTGTTTGTCCATGTTCATTCTTGTAAATATGTATTGGATGATATCCGTACAGCCGTATTACATCACAAAATGATTTATTTTATATAAGTATTATTTATTAAATAATTTATGGTTGTAATGAAATTTAGTTTGGCTAGTATATGTCGTATAAAATATATCTCTTTTTAAAGTATTACTAAGTTTTTAAAAATGGTTGTAATGAATTTTAGTTAGGCTAACAATGTAACTAAGTATATTACATTGTTTTACTAATAAAGGGGCCATTTCTGGTGGCTCGTACCAAATGTAAAAACATTTCTTATTTATTATTTTCTATTTAGATATAAAATTGTTTATTTATATAACATATTAAAATTTATTCTCAATGAGAATTTTATTTTCTCAAAACCAAGGGCATTTAATGTAATAGTGACAAAATTTAATATTTGTTTTATAAATGTACTTTCAAATAGAATTAATGTCACTCATAGTTTTTAATTAATTTTTTTTTCTTATTGTCGTGTTATTATACCTTCTTCTTTGCTAATGCGATTATATTCAAACTTGAGCGTAGCCTATCTCATTTTTAAAATATTAGTTTACTTTTATTTTTTTGGTTAAGATAGTTCAAAATCAAATCCTTCACAAAACCAAACTTTTAGTTTGAGTATGATTTATTTTAGTTTTTTTTTTCATATCTCTTTTTATTAATATAATTCATAATGATCCTTCTTTTGTAATCCCTTTAAAAAAACTTTGATTTTTCAGCTTGATGTTACATTTATTGTAAAACCGTCTTTTTATGAATAATTTTTAAATTCATACAAAAAAACAAAATTCATAATGGCTAATTTTTTTTACAATCTTAGTACAAAATTTACATTAAATATATCTTAAATTTATAATTATTTTCTTTAATAAGACAACAAATATATTTACAATATGAAAAAAAAAAGATCTTGTGACCTAGACAACATTTTTTTGTTCTGTTTCACCTATTGTTCTCTTTAAGCATCCATTAATCAAATCGTAAAACCCAAAAAAGCTGGTAAGGCCCAATAAAGGCCCAAATAAAAGACTTTCCTCTCCATCCGCCCATTCCTCTGGTCGCAAGCTTTCCACGGTTCCGATTCTCCGAATGGATAATGTAACCGTTTAGCTCTCTCTTCCTCTATCTCTCTCTACACTTCCATAAATCGTACGGCCATGAGCTTGGCTTCGATTTCCTCGTCGCCGCCGGTGGCTTCGCCGTACTTCCGCTGCCGAACTTACATCTTCTCCATATCTTCGTCACCTCTCTGTTTATATTTCCCGCGCGGTGACTCAACTTCTTCCCTCAGGCCACGAGTTCGCGCCTTGCGAACGGAATCTGACGGTGCTAGGATTGGTAACACGGAGTCTTACGGTTCGGAATTGCTTCGTCGGCCGCGTATTGCGTCTGAGGAAAGCTCTGTAGAGGAGGAAGAGGAGGAAGAGAGCGGCGAAGGTGATGAGTTCGTTGATTGGGAAGATAAAATCCTTGAGGTTACTGTTCCTCTTGTTGGCTTCGTCAGGATGATTCTTCACTCTGGAAAGTAAGTTTTTTTGTATCTCAATTCTTACGATCAAAATCACTACAGTGTTGCTACTGAGTAAGCTTTTAGAATTTAGGAGGCATAAGCTTTCAGAGTTTAACAATTGTTAGTCTAATTGAGTGTTTATTGGTTGATATGATCATGTATTGGTATCTGAAATGGGAGCTCAAGAGTCTCTATATAACTCAGAAATTGGTTCTAGTTCTTCTGAGTGAGCATAAGTCATTTCTAGAAGCATTTGCTTTATGGATGAGTCTAAAGAGAATAGTATGGATTAGATGTAAAATGGCAAATAAGATATGTGAATCTTGTGCTGCTGCTGCTGCTACATATATGTTGATCTGCTAAAATGAATCTTGTCATTTTTGATTCATTGGTAGCTCTGTGGCATTTTGAAATTGCAGATATGCAAACCGAGATAGGCTAAGCCCGGAGCACGAGAGAACAATTGTTGAGATGCTGCTTCCTTATCACCCCGAGTTTGAGAAGAAGATTGGATGTGGAATAGACTATATCATGGTATGTAATCTTGCTTTCGAGATTTGGAATCATCATGAGTCTTTTACCAAGTGGACCTTTAGCTTCTTAATAGTAGTTATCCTGAAAATTGATTTGACATTGTTTTCCTTTGGACAACTTGGCATGGATTTATATTTTCATTTTGGGATTGTTTGTCTGCAGTTTCAATATGTTCTTGTCTTGGCAGGTACTGCATTATTTGTTTTAATTTCCATATTATTGGCAGTAGAAATAGGTCATTTAGAACAAGCTGACCCACAGCGTTTTATATGTTTTTGTGTTAGAATAATCAACATAGATTTTCATGTTTTACATGTCAAAGATAGAGATGATATCTTGATTGGTTCGGTTTGTCGTTGCAGGTTGGGCATCACCCAGATTTTGAGAGCTCTCGGTGTATGTTTATAGTTCGAAAAGATGGAGAAGTAGTTGACTTTTCGTATTGGAAATGCATAAAAGGGCTAATAAAAAAGAAGTATCCTCTGTATGCAGACAGTTTCATCCTCAGACATTTTCGCAAACGTAGGCAGAACAGATGAATGAAGCTTATGTAGATTCTCAAACTCAAACGCTCGTAGACTCGGATCCTCGTCTCCCAACTACATCCTAAAAGGTTTTGGAGTGAGAACTCAAAGACAGAAGATTCAGTCACTATTTTTCTTTGAGTTGGAATTACGAATGGAACTTTCTAGAAAATATGGTTTCCGCAGGAGATAAGAGGAATTAGAACCATCAGAAATATTAATATGTTCATTATCTTAAATCTTTAGCGTTTATATGTTGAATCTGTTACATGAACTTATGTGCAGAGGTAGAGAAACTAGTACACATTTGTGTGCAGGGCTTGAATATTCAGATGCAGGTTTCTTCTTAAAGTGTTTTTCGTTTTCTTTTACATTTACTTATTACTGTTGTCTGATGTTTTGGTACGACTAAGGCACAAACTAGTTTCGTAACTCAAAATTGGAATTTTTTACATTTTAGTTTATATCCAAATTTTCAAATACGTAAGTTTAAAGTCCAAATTAGCCCTGGCCATTATAACTAAACCGAAAATTTTGAACCTAATTGAACTAAGATTTGATCGTGGAAGCCCTCTTCACTCATTGGTTGATCAAGAGTTGATTATTGCTTCTACACCAAGAGGTCTGGGGTTCGAGTCCCAGATATTGCGATTTATTAACAAATTTGCAGATTAATGGGGGCAAGTGTGGAAGAGATCTTCAGCGATGTACAATTATAGCCGTTCGCCAGGATTCTACGCAGAGAAGGAAGTGTCGCCAGGTCGTGGATCATTGAAGGGTATTCATCAAGATCACGAAGAAGGAAGTGTAGTCTGTCGTGAATCTAATAAGGATCGGAAGGAATTGTCAGTTGTAGAATCGTCTATGTAATACTTCTCATAATTTGCAATTAATAATAAATCTAGACGACAAAAAAAAAACTACGATTTGGTTAATTAGGAGAAGATGATTTGCTTAAGTAGAAATTATACTCAGTTCTTTCTTACTACCAAAATCTCTACAGACATAAACATATAGGATATAGCAAAGGCTTAAAACCATAGTTCTTACCAATCAGCTCATTAGTTCGAGTATTAAAAAAAATCTAAATTTTATCAGTTACATGCTTTAAAACTTAATATTCTAAGCTTCTGTTTATTGGATTGCGTTAGATGCAGAATTGCAGATGTACAAAACTTTCAAATTTGTTAGTTTAAGGCTCTGATTGGTGGTTTTGGAAATAGAAAAAAGAAAGTAGAAAAGAGATGATTATTAAAAAAAAGTTGGAAAATAAACTAATGGAGTAATTTATTTTTACTCTAATTAAAACAAAAGTAAAACTGACTGTGTAGTTCTTTCTAGGACTGGGCAAAAAAACCGAAAACCGAAAAACCGAACCGTACCTAACCGAAATAAATGGTTTGGTTTGGTTATGGTTTTGTATAAAAATCCATTTGGTTGTAATTTTTATTTAAGTTTCGGTTTAGGTTTGGTTTGGTTAAAAACCGTACAATTATAGATTAACAAATTTGCAGATTAATGGGGGCAAGTGTGGAAAAGATCTTCAGCGATGTACAATTATAGCCGTTCGCCAGGATTCTACGCAGAGAAGGAAGTGTCGCCAGGTCGTGGATCATTGAAGAGTATTCATCAAGATCACGAAGAAGGAAGTGTGGTCTGTCGTGAATCTAATAAGGATCGGAAGGAATTGTCAGTTGTAGAATCGTCTATGTAATACTTCTCATAATTTGCAATTAATAATAAATCTAGACGACAAAAAAAAAACTAAGATTTGGTTAATTAGGAGAAGATGATTTGCTTAAGTAGAAATTATACTCAGTTCTTTCTTACTACCAAAATCTCTACATACATAAACATATAGGATATAGCAAAGGCTTAAAACCATAGTTCTTACCAATCAGCTCATTAGTTCGAGTATTAAAAAAAATCTAAATTTTATCAGTTACATGCTTTAAAACTTAATATTCTAAGCTTCTGTTTATTGGATTGCGTTAGATGCAGAATTGCAGATGTACAAAACTTTCAAATTTGTTAGTTTAAGGCTCTGATTGGTGGTTTTGGAAATAGAAAAAAGAAAGTAGAAAAGAGATGATTATTTAAAAAAAGTTGGAAAATAAACTAATGGAGTAATTTATTTTTACTCTAATTAAAACAAAAGTAAAACTGACTGTGTAGTTCTTTCTAGGACTGGACAAAAAAACCGAAAACCGAAAAACCGAACCGTACCTAACCGAAATAAATGGTTTGGTTTGGTTATGGTTTTGTATAAAAATCCATTTGGTTGTAATTTTTATTTAAGTTTCGGTTTAGGTTTGGTTTGGTTAAAAACCGTACAATTATAGATTAACAAATTTGCAGATTAATGGGGGCAAGTGTGGAAGAGATCTTCAGCGATGTACAATTATAGCCGTTCGCCAGGATTCTACGCAAAGAAGGAAGTGTCGCCAGGTCGTGGATCATTGAAGGGTATTCATCAAGATCACGAAGAAGGAAGTGTAGTCTGTCGTGAATCTAATAAGGATCGGAAGGAATTGTCAGTTGTAGAATCGTCTATGTAATACTTCTCATAATTTGCAATTAATAATAAATCTAGACGACAAAAAAAAAACTAAGATTTGGTTAATTAGGAGAAGATGATTTGCTTAAGTAGAAATTATACTCAGTTCTTTCTTACTACCAAAATCTCTACAGACATAAACATATAGGATATAGCAAAGGCTTAAAACCATAGTTCTTACCAATCAGCTCATTAGTTCGAGTATTAAAAAAAATCTAAATTTTATCAGTTACATGCTTTAAAACTTAATATTCTAAGCTTCTGTTTATTGGATTGCGTTAGATGCAGAATTGCAGATGTACAAAACTTTCAAATTTGTTAGTTTAAGGCTCTGATTGGTGGTTTTGGAAATAGAAAAAAGAAAGTAGAAAAGAGATGATTATTAAAAAAAAGTTGGAAAATAAACTAATGGAGTAATTTATTTTTACTCTAATTAAAACAAAAGTAAAACTGACTGTGTAGTTCTTTCTAGGACTGGGCAAAAAAACCGAAAACCGAAAAAACCGAACCGTACCTAACCGAAATAAATGGTTTGGTTTGGTTATGGTTTTGTATAAAAATCCATTTGGTTGTAATTTTTATTTAAGTTTCGGTTTAGGTTTGGTTTGGTTAAAAACCGTAAAACCGAACGGTTTTTTTGGTTTTTTATTAAAGTTAAAAATAATTGTATATATATATAATGTCCATTTGATAATATCATATCTATCGAACTATCGAAAAACAAAACCCTAACCCTAACCTAAACTAAAATTCTATATAAATCACATGCTGTCATTGACTCTTTGTTCTTAAATTCTATATAAATCACATGTCCCAATATTAGCAGAATTAGCCAGGGATGTGCTTGCATTTCCTGTTTCGAATGTTTCATCGGAATCTGTTTTAGCACTGGAGATCGCATCTTAGACCCATATAGGAGTTCACTAACTCCTTTTATTGCAGAATTGGCTTAAAACATCATCTTATTATTGTGATGCATGTGTTGACATTGGGAAAATGCTAGAAGAACCTGAATATATGGAGTCTTTACACGAAGGTATGTATTCAATATTCATGATTCTCTTATGGGTTTAAACTTTCAACTACATTGAAAAATATTTTACATCTTATATATAAATATATATATATATCACTGGATCTCATGTTCTTTTATTTTGTTTTGTCTATCAGAGATTAATAGGCAGCTTGAAGAGGCCAATCGTGGCTAATGAGTGATATCACTGAGTGATATCACTGAGTGATGACGATGATACAAATTATTTCTGAATTTTGTTTTCTATAGCTTATTAGCTTTCTAATTTTTACAAGTTTGAATTTAAATTTAGGATTTGGGTTTACAAACCAGATTTTGATTTTATTTATGCATCAAACTTATAATTTTTTTTGGTAAAAACATGAAAAAACCGGAACCAAACCGGAACCGATCCGAACCAAAATACATATGGTTTTTAAATGGTTTTAATTTTTCTAAAACCGAAAAACCGTAAAACCGTTAAAACCGAACCGTAAGAAAACCGAATTTCATATGGTTTTTATATGGTTTCACTTTTCTTAAAACCGAAAAACCGTAAAACCAAAAAAACCGAACCGAAACCAAACCGAAAAACCGAACGCCCACCCCTAGTTCTTTCTCTCTCTACTCTAATAACTAGACTAATTTTAGATCTAGAGTAAATTATTATTCTATGAGCAACAACTAGTTAAAACCTAAGTTTTATATAAACGTATTAATTATTTTGTATTTTAAACGAATCATATTAATTAATATACTTTTTAAGAACTTTTGCAAGCAAATTCAAAACTTATCAAACTATAAATTATACTAGAGTCAATGATGTACTTTAGAAGAAAAACACTACTATAATTAGTGAATTGAGAGTATTATTGTCCTTGTATTAATTTTTAAACTTAAAAAAATGATAAGGTGGGTTTGATAATGGTGAAGTGAACCCAACTAAAAACTAGAGACGTGGACCAATGAGAAAGAAGTAAGAAGACTCTTTGGTTTCTGACATGTTCCCACAAACAAAGTCGATGTGAAAGCAAATAATGTCCGTCCACGTACATCAACGATCAACGGCTGAGATTTGGTTTCATACTTGTCTGTCTCATCGAGGTTGGTTCGTGTTTTGTTATTGTTGGTTTGGACAATGATTGAGCGACACGTTATTTCGTTGCAACTACTTTTTTTCTTTTTGAACTTTTGTAATCAGAGGACTAAAGAAGTAAGTGGACCGATCATAAATAACAAAACTCAAAGTGATTGATTATTGGGACCTTTTGCCACTTCAGGATAGAGAAGCCGGAAGCGTTTTCAATTCAACGGTGAACAAAATATTAACTGATTTTTTTTTGTTTTGAAAGAGAAATAAATAGATGTTAATCGGTTAAGTAGCACAACTGTTAGGAATGAAACTATTATCTCGAAATCGATATCAAAAATCGGTTTTGAATCTTTTAATTATTTCCGAAAATCCAGATATTCAGAATGTTTGGATATAGATTCTAAGTTTTCCCCTATTTGCTTCATCAAAAACTAAATCAAAAGATGTTGGAGTATTATTTTGGAATGTACCAGTTGTCTTAGAAAAAAAAAACTTGGGACGTATCGCTCAAATCATTGGATTTAATTTTTTTAATTCTTCGAACTAGTTATCATCCGTCCAAATTAAATTTAAATTTAGATATCCCAATTTTAAAGTTTATATATCTGATATTGTTTTCGATTCTCTTCATAAATTCAAATATTTGGATATTTTTATTTAGAGATTCAAATAGTAATTTTTTTATTTGTCCTAACCGCATTTGGATCTAGATATCATAATTTTTAGATTAGGATATCCAAATCCTATTTTCTAAACCTTAAACCCGCTAAGTATATTATTTTCACATATAATATAATTTCAAATATTATAACGTATATGACAATATTTTCATTTCTTTTGTAATACAGTAAAACCTCTATAAATTAATACTCTATAAATTAATAACCTCTCTAAATTAATAAATTCTTCTGGTCCCGAGTTGGAACCAGTGTAAAATATGACATAAATCGATAAATTAATAAGATAATAATTTTTTTGAAAATCCCATGTAAACATATGGTCCCATCTATATCATAAATTAATAATTGTATAAACTTATCAATATATATATATATATATTTAACTTAATGTATATATCTATATGATATAAATTTATATATGTCATATATGAATTACTATGATATATATTTAAAATATTATATGTAAAAAATTTAATGAAATATGACTCTATTATTCGAAAAAAGATTGTGTTGTTTTTTAAAGTTAATAATTGCTTCTCTACTTGTAATTAGTTTTTAAAAAATATTGCTTATAAAGAAAAAAAATATTTTTAGATAGATTTTTTTTTTAAAATTACAAAATTAGTAAAATCTCTCTATAAATTAATAATTATTAATTTATCGATAAATTAATACCTCTCTAAATTAATAAAATTCCATGGTCCCAACATTATTAATTTATAGAGGTTTTACTGTATATGATACATGTAAAAAAGAACTAACAAGTGAAATTAGGAAAGAAGACAAAATTAAAGAGTGAATGTTACGTTTGTCAAGGTTGTATTTCATAAGTATTTTACCATGGTATTATTAATAAAAATTCAGATGACAAAAAAAAAAAGAGCGAAAGTGACGCAAAATACAAGTATATACCATTTTTTAATTAAAATAATTAGTAAATGTAGTATTTATTCAAATGGTTAGGAGACAGAGAGACACTTGGCTCAGCAGACAAAGGACCTAATCACCCAAACGAAGAACCAGACATTTTGGGCAAATACGAAGCACACGAATTTAGCATAAAGGTAATACAGTACAAGATTCTTATCCTCCTGATATTTTTCTTATCTCTGTGTGTGTAGAAGAAACTGTGGATATTATTGCTCATCTTCTTTTAATTCTTTCCATTAATGTCCATACTTAATTTTTGGATAAATTACTAATTTTGCCTAATACTTCTCATAAACGCATTTATATCCTCCTGTTCGTTGTATCTGATTTTATCCATTTGACAAAACTTTTGGAATCTTGTAAATGTATTTGTTCTTTGAGGGTTTTTGAATTGGTTTTTTTTGCAGATTTCTGGATTTGTTTATAAATTAGGGTTCTGATACTAAAGTTTGGTTTTTTATACTAAAGTTTGGATTTTTTTTTGTTTTTATGGCTATTTTCAGATCCAGTAATAGCTGAATTTATGTGGAAAAATGGATGGTAATATGAATTTCAAGAACAACAATTTGGGGAATGAGCCACCAGGAGATGGTGGTGGAGGGTTGACTAGACCAGGGTTGACTAGACAAGGTTCGATATACTCGTTGACGTTTGATGAGTTTCAGAGCAGTTTAGGGAAAGATTTTGGGTCAATGAACATGGATGAGTTGTTAAAGAACATATGGAGTGCTGAAGAAACTCAAGCCATGGCTAGTGGTATGGTTCCTGTTGTTGGTGGAGGACAAGAGGGTTTGCAGTTGCAGAGGCAAGGCTCGTTGACTCTGCCTCGAACGCTTAGTCAGAAGACGGTTGATCAAGTTTGGAAAGATCTATCTAAAGTTGGAAATAGTGGAGGAGGAGGAACAAACTTTTCTCAGGTGGTTCAGGCTCAGAATCAGAGTCAGAGTCAGAGGCAGCAAACATTAGGTGAAGTAACTTTGGAGGAGTTTTTGGTCCGTGCGGGTGTTGTGAGAGAGGAAGCTCAGATTGCTGCAAAAGCTCAGATTACTGAGAACAACAAAGGCGGTTACTTTGGTAATAATGCTAACACGGGTTTCTCTGTCGAGTTTCAGCAGCCTTCTCCACGAGTTGTTGCTGCTGGTGTAATGGGAAATCTTGGTGCAGAGACTGCCAATCATTTACAGGTTCAAGGTTCTAGTTTGCCTTTGAATGTAAATGGAGCTAGATCAACATACCAGCAACCGCAACAGCAACAGCCAATCATGCCTAAGCAGCCTGGTTTTGGTTATGGAACACAAATTGGTCAGCTTAATAGTCCTGGGATAAGAGGTGGGGGTCTTATGGGACTTGGAGATCAGTCTTTAACGAACAATATGGGCTTGGTCCAAGGTGCTGCTACTGCAATTCCTGGAGCTTTGGGCGTTGGTGCTGTATCTCCTGTTACACCATTGTCATCAGAAGGGATAGGGAAGAGTAATGGTGATTCTTCATCGCTCTCTCCGTCTCCGTACATGTTTAATGGTGGTGTGAGGGGTAGAAAGAGTGGCACTGTGGAGAAAGTTGTTGAGAGAAGGCAAAGGAGAATGATAAAGAACCGAGAATCAGCTGCAAGGTCACGGGCCAGGAAACAGGTAAAATGTTATAATATCTCCATCATTCTATATGCTCTTGATTGTGATATACGCCAAAAGACTTATAAAGCAAATTTGGTAGGGTATCTTGTAGTTTAGTTCTTCTTTACCCCACAATGAAGTGTTGATTCAAAGTGTAAAGTGTCTTGTCTATTAAAATTGGTGTAGTAAATAGAATTATTGAGACTTGAAAGAAAAACGTGCATAAAGTACTTGCGTTTCTTGTGGTTGAATGAGTCTTGGAAACAAATATGAACGTTCTGGTTTTGGTGTATATACATGTTGCATCCACAGATGTTCACAGCAGATCAGACCATATATTGGAATGTAATTTGCTAATGTCCCAAGGTGGCTCAGAGTATTGAGGGTTCAAGTTCATCAAGAAGTTATAATGACTCCATTTTTTTGGGTTTTTGGGGGAAGGTAAAGGGTGATTGTTGTTATCAAAACGTAAAAATCAGAAATTTTACATGATGTGACCAAACTGTTTGAGTTCTACATCTGGGGGTCTAAATGTTTTGAATGGCACTCTAGTCTATACCTCATAAGCTTCTCAGTATTGCTTCGTTTGGTTTGTAGGCTTACACTGTGGAGCTTGAAGCTGAAGTCGCAAAGTTAAAGGAAGAGAATGACGAGTTACAACGAAAGCAGGTAATCACAAAACCATGTCTTTGCATCACAATTGCTCATATACCACATTCATTTCTTATAGTTTCTCATTGTACGCCTCGTGTTTTTTTTTCAGGCAAGGATCATGGAAATGCAAAAGAATCAGGTAATAATTCTTATTCCATTGTAACACTAACTCAATAAACTACATTTCATAGTTGAACTTATAAACGCGGTTGTTTGTTTCCGTTTGAAACAGGAGATGGAGATGAGGAATCTTCTGCAAGGAGGTCCAAAGAAAAAGCTGAGGAGGACAGAGTCAGGACCTTGGTGAATCAATTCAGTGCTCATACTTAGTTTCTGTAGATAAAATCACATCCCACTTAGATGTTTAGTTGAAGAAGACTTAATAGAGAAGAGCTTTCATCGTTTATATTGTAAGCTCTCACCATATATGTTATGTTTTATACATACACATGATCATCAGATCTCTTTTGCTTTATTTAGACCAAGATTTTATGTGTCATTTTTTGTGTGTTTTCTCGTTGTTGCTTGTCGCTATACAGCCTCAAAATACAGTTTCTTGATCTTGGAGTTACCTATTTGACATAACACTGAAGAACTGAAAGTGTTGTTTGGTTTCTCTGAGTGCCAAAACTATGACCTGTGCCAACACAACAATCTAGGCCAGTGCCGACTATATCCCGAACTGAACCTTGGTCATTTCGGTTCGGGGTCGGTTAGTATAGCGGGATCGATGGGTTCGGTTATTGGGTCGGTTTGATGCTGTTCACTGAACTGAACAGTTACCCAAAGTAAACCTGATTATACCGAAATTTATGAAAATATGTACCAAAATAAAATTCCTTTAAAATCGATAACCAAACCGGATCAAATATTTGTACGGATTATAAATACATAACCGAACCAAATAACCGATGACCGAATCGAACCAAACCGAGTTATTCGGTCTGATTTCATTAGTAACTAGAAATGAAAGTTTCACTCTTTTAGCCATTTTAGTTTTCACTCTCATTCTCTCTCACTTCCTCGCTCAAATTCTTCCTCTTTCCACCTGCAAAACCCTAGTTTCTGGTTGTTTCGTCTTGTCTCCGTCAGGAATCAAACACGAACCTTAGGTATTTCGTCTTACCCAACTCTATCTTTCCATTTTTTCCGAGAAACAAAATGTTGATCATGAATAACGCCGCTGTCTCTGTGATAGGTTTATTGTAGTGTTCCAAAATGTATATTTGAAAGTTAGGAAATCTCGATATAGCTTGTGTTTCTACTGCTTTTGATTTTGTATAAACGACCAGAAAAATTGTTTATTTCTTTCTATAAGCAGAAAAATTGTTTCTTTCTTTCTATAGAACATTTCGATATAGCTTGTGTTACTACTGCTTTGTCTCTATTGTTATGTTGCTTGGGAGTTTTAGAACAAGTTTCATTGTTTTCTTTTTATAGTGTTGCAAGCTTTTCTTGTCTAGGTCTCTTTGAGTTTGAAATTTAAGGTGTTTTTTTTTTGCTTTATCTCTGCTGTAACTGTTGAAAGTTTTTTGGAAAGGAGCAAAATTTTTTTTCATTTTTGTCTTCTTTATAGTGTTCCTAGCTTTTTGTTGTTCTTGTTATTGCATAGGATTGAAAACTGATCACTCTTGAGTTGCCTTTGTTTGTTTGATTTTGAACCCAAAGATTGGAAACTGATATTTTTCTCCTCCATTTTCTTCAGAAATCAAAGAGAAGATAGAAATGGCGCCCAAAGGAAGAAAAAAGGTAAGCTTTATTGTTACATATAGGATTGAACAGATCAGTGTGGTTTGGGACTTTGGTTTCATAATTTTAAGTAAGCTTTACTGTTACATAGAGGATTGGACAGAACAGTGTGGTGGGGGTTTGGGACTTGGGAGAATAGACAATGCACTAGGTTTGTTTCGTTTGTTTCAGTTGATTCTCAATGAGAAATAGAGATCTGTTTGATGAGTGTTCTTCATTCTTCTATGATTTTTCTCTCTTTTATAGGTTTTTAAATTGCTACGTTTCTTCTCCTTGTTTTGCAAGCAGATTGGATTGAGGCGTCAGGATGCAGCACGAGACCGCATGAAAGAGTTTGGGTTTGATAAGCGTGTTATCAATGAGAGTATCAAGCAAGTGCTAAAGGTCTTCAATTTCCCATTCGTTGAAATTTTTTTCTTTGAAACTTGAAGTGACACGCTTAACTCAATTTGGATTTCAGGTGTATGGTGAGGACCAATGGTTTCTGATTGAAGATGCTAACTATGATGCCCTCCTTAACATTTGCCTTGAAAAGAAAGAGGAACAAGACAACCAATTGGCGGCCGAGGAACACAAAGAAACAGCTCAGGAAGAAGAAGAAGAAGAAAAGGTGATTTGTTCATCTTGGTTACAAATTTGTTGCTTCTCATTGTTGGGATTAGTTTTGCTTCCATGATCAGAGACTATTGACTGGTTTCTTGAACCTATATGCTACTTAACTTGCAATATGATCATCCTTTGCATTGCACCACAGAAGGCTGATGCGTTATCGATCACTAACGAACCAGTCATGAACTCATCACCACCAGCTTTTCAATTCGTAGAAGCACCAGTAGATTTTGCACACCAGTCTGTTGGAGGTATACTCATCTCCAAAACAATCTCAAAGCGTAAAACATTCGTTTACTGAGGTCAAAATCATTCTTTAGGTGCCCAGAGTTCTCACTGTGGATGGCTAAGCAGTGAAGAGGAGACAGATCCGGATGAGGATGAAAATAGTGATGAGTTGATTCAGCTAACTCCAGAACCTCTCTGTGAAGAACTTGAAGAGCTTCTTAGGGAAGTATATGGACAAAAGAAGATGAAGTACAACTAAAGGAGTCATAAGCTCCTGTAACTAAAATTGATATATAGTTAAGAACTAAGAAGTATAGTGAAATTAAGAGTAAGCTTGTAGCATTGGAACTAGTATAATTTAAACTTATCAAAAAGTCCAAACTCCAAACCAATTCCATCCCAAAGTAAACCGAAGCTGGATCAAATCTGAAGTTGGTTTAATTGGAATACTCCTTGTATATATTTTAAAATTTTTATGCCATTTTGGCAAAGAACATTTTATCAAAATTTGAATCTTAAATTCTGAATGCATATATTTTCATTAGTGGGGCGTTCGGCTATCTGATCGGTTATCAGTTCTGTTCCATTCTCTAAAATTTAGTATCCATTCGGATATTTTGAAATTTTAGTTTGGTTTCGGTTTGGTTCTAGTTCTTTCGGTTTTAAAATTTAGTATCCATTCGGTTATTTTGGTTTGCATATTTTCGGATATTTCAGTTATTTTTGGATATTTTTGGTTATTTTCGAATATTTTTTATTATTTTATATATTTTTCAAGTATTTTTGATTTTTTGGTTTATAAATAATTAATATTTTTTTTTAAAATATAATTGTATTTCGGATATTTTCGGTTATCCAAAATATTTCGGTTCAATACCGATTCAGTTACAATTCTTTCGGTTATAGAATTTAGTATCCATTTGGTTATTTTCAAATTTTTGGTTCAATTTTTTTTCTTCGGTTTCGGTTCGGTTTATTTTTCCAGGCGGCCTATATTTCATGAACAAATTATTTGCTAAACTTAGCAATGGATTTGGCGGGGGACTAGGGAAAATATATGTAGCGTAAGAAGAGGAAATCAAGAGTGCCCATAGTTTTCATTGAATCGCACAGACTCTCTTCTCTCGCTCGTCATCATCGTTATTCCACTGATTCGGCGACTCAAAAGAGCGATCTTTTGTTATTCGATTTGTCATGACGTATGCCTACCACATGTTCGACGAAATTCCTGAACCAGCTTCCTTGTCTCAAAACTATGTGATTGGATCCACCTGAAATTGGAAATGATTCAAGACTTCAATCTTAGAGATCATTGAATGCGTTTCTTTCACTAAAGTGGGTAAGTATCTTCATTCTTCGCTCTTTCTACTTCATTCTGCTTTATAGTTGCCTCGTCTCGTAAGGCACAAAAAGTAGACATTTTCTGTATAGTTTTAGTGATGCTTGAAACTGTTATTGTAAGGAAAATCTATGAACAAATCGATTTGCATATTTACCTCTATTTGAATGTAGTTTATGACACAAATTAGTAACCAAAGACTTGGCCTATCATTATATGGAATTGTTCTGAGCTGCCATTTGGACCATATATCTCCCAGAAAAATGTCAATGGGGCATTCCGAGAATCGAACTCGGGACCTCTCGCACCCAAAGCGAGAATCATACCACTAGACCAAATGCCCTGTTCCTAAGCAATTTAGTTTAAACATTGAAGATCACCATATTTGGTTAATTGTGGGCTCGTGCTCTTAGTTGACTTTTAGCAAACAATTTTGTCTTAATAGGACGTTTTTGTATCGATATTCCATGAGATCTCTTTCAACTCATTCCAGTAATGTGGTCTTTAGTATGTGGATTTCTAAGTTGCAATGTACTCTAGATGGAAATACTCCAGATATATATTGATTCACTTGTTTAAACTTCTTCCGCGAAAAATCATTAGAAGAGGATGGTCCTCTCCTCCTACATTTTTCAGTTGGCGTTTTTACATCAATCATTCAAAAACTCTCCATTTGTTCGATTCATTATGATCATCTTTGTCCTTAAGTTTTATTTGATCATACCACTATACCTTAATCATGGTTATTAGCTAGTACCCTAGACAATACCCCAGTAATATTGGTGAAGTTTTACGTATATAGTCACAGTTACTGGATGAATGAGATCTGTGAAAAATACATTTATATGCAAGGATTGTGAGATGTAACTTACAACATATGGTTTTGAAGAATGTCAACGGGCATTCTGAGGATGAAACTCGCACCAAAAGCGAAAATTATACCACTAGTCCAAATGCCCTGTTGCTAAGCAATATAGTTTAAGCATTCTCTTTTTTTCCTTACCCTTTGTGGGAAGAATAGTTCTTGGTTTGTTATTCTTCTTTTGGAACAATAGAGTGGAAATGCATGTTGTTCAAGGTTTTTTTTTGTATCCGTTAGTTTCAGTGGAATTCAATCTATTTTACTTGTGATGTTTGAAACTGTTATTGTAAGGATAATCTAAGAACAAAGCTAGCTCTTTGTATTTACGTCTATGTGAATGTAGTTTGTGACAAATTAAGAACCAAAAACTTGGCACATCATTATATGCAATTGTTTTGAGCTGCCATTTGGACCATATATCTCCCAGAAAAAAAAGTCAAAGGGGCATTCCGAGAAACGAACTCGGGACCTCTCGCACCCAAAGCGAGAATCATACCACTAGACCAAATGCCCTGTTGTTGATATAAATCATTCAATGCACAACTATTGTTGATAGTTGGATACCAGTTTAAGGATGTGCTTCTTTTTTTTCACTTCCTGCAGGTGTCTCTTGAAGAAATTGGTAGCGTTCAGCTAGTGACGTTCTCTGTTCATTCCGTTATCGAGAAACTGTTTTCTTGCTGCATAATGCGAGTCACTGGAGGTCAAAGGCAAGGTACAATGCGATTCTCATTCTATTTGTTAAACTTCAGTACTGAACAGGCATAATGGGAAATTGTTGTCTCATTTACCCTGCTAAAAATTGAAGGTAAATGCACTGAAGAACATGTTTGTGCCACGATAGTTCTCATCTAGTATTTAGATCAGACATCCAAAAAAGTCAATGGGGCATTCCGAGAATCGAACTCGGGACCTCTCGCACCCAAAGCGAGAATCATACCACTAGACCAAATGCCCTGTTGTTGATAATATATAACTCAATGCACAACTGTAGTTGAACTTGGATACCAGTTTTAAGCTGTGTTCTTTTTCACTTCCTGCAGTTGTCTCTTGGAGAAATTGACAACATTGAGCTATTGATGTTCTCGGTTCATTCTGTCATCGAGAAACTGTTTTCTTGCTTCACAATGTGAGAGATTCAATGGACGTCAAAGCTAAGGTACATTGTGATTCTCATTCTATTTGTTGCATTTCAGCAATTTTTACCAAACAGGCGTAATGGGAAATTGTTATCTAATTTAAACTTACTGAAAATTGTGAGAAAATGCGCTAAAGAACATGTTTTGCCATGATAGTTCTTAGCTGGTCTTTAAATCAGACTTCCAAAAAAGTCAACGGGGCATTCCGAGAATCGAACTCGGGACCTCTCGCACCCAAAGCGAGAATCATACCACTAGACCAAATGCCCTGTTGCTAAGCAATTTAGTTTAAACATTGAAGATCACCATATTTGGTGGGCTCGTGCTCTTAGTTGACTTTTACTAAACAATTTAGTCTTAATAGGATGTTTTTGGATCTATATTCTATGAGATCTCTTTCAACTCATTCCAGTGATGTGGTCTTTAGTATGTGGATTTCTAGTTTGCAATGTACTCTAGATGGAAATACTCCAGAAATATATTGATCCACTTGTTAAAACTTTTTCCCAGAAAAATCATTAGATGAGGATGGTCCTCTCGTCCTACATTTTCAGTTGGATTTCTTACATCAATCATTTAAAACTCTGTAGTTGTTCAATTCATTATGATCTTCTTTGTCTTAAAGTTTTATTTGATCAAACCACTAGACCAAATTCTTCGTTATTAGCTAGTACCCTAGACAATACCCCAGTAATATTGGTTAAGTTTTGTGTATATAGTCACAGTTTTTAGATGATTGTGATCTGTAAAAAAGCAGGCATCAAATACGTATATATGCAATGATTTTGAGATGTAACTTACAACATATGGTTTTGAAAAATGTCAAGGGGCATGCTGATAATCAAACTCGCCCCAAAAGCGAAAATCATACCACTAGACCAAATGCCTGGTTATTAGTGTTTCAGTTAAAGCTTTCTCTTTTCTCCTTACCCTTTGTGGAAAGAATACTTCTTGGTTTGTATTTCTTCTTTCGAAACAATAGAGTGGAAATGCATGTTGTTCAAGTTTTTTTTTGTATCCGTTAGTTTAAGTGAAAGTGGCAATAAGTTCAACCTATTTTACTTGTGATGCTTGAAACTGTTATTGTAAGGAAAATCTAAGAACAAAGCTGGATTTGCATATTTACTTCTATCTGAATGTAGGCTGTGACAAATTAGGAACCAAAGACTTGGCTCATCATTACATGCAATTGTTCTGAGCTGCCATTTGGACCATATATCTCCCGAAAAAAAAGTCAATGGGGCATTCCGAGAATCGAACTCGGGACCTCTTGCACCCAAAGCGAGAATCATACAACTAGACCAAATGCCCTGTTGTTGATATAAATCATTCAATGCACAACTGTTGTTGAGTTGTTGATACTTGGATACCAGTTTAAGGCTGTGTTTTATTTTTCCACTTCCTGCAGTCGTCTCTTGAAGAAATTGGTAGCATTCAGCTAGTGACGTTCTCTGTTCATTCCGTTATCGAGAAACTGTTTTCCTGCTGCAAAATGCGGGTCAGTGGACGTCAAAGCCAAGGTACATATTGCGATTCTCATTCTATTTGTTGCATTTCAGCAGTTTTATACCAAACAGGTGTCATGGGAAATTGTGTTCTCATTTACACTC